AACGGGCGAGAGGGCGCAGACATCCTGCCGCGCAGGCCGCTGCAGTACGGCAAACTGTGCAAGAACATTTGACTGAAAGGTTCTATGTATGTATGTACAGGGGTGGGCATAATATGGTGACAAGATTGAACTATATGCCCTACCCTGTCATGCCCCCTCCCCCCTCCCCATTTGTCGCTCACTGTCGATTAACGCACATCTGTGACCTCCGTTCCCTCGGAGCTTATCGTGGGATGCGTTCTCCAAAACATGAAACTATAAGGCCTCTCATGTTGGCCAAGCCCTGTTCAGGATACGCCACGCATTTTGCGACCATTAGGAATCATTTTGAACTCGAGTTTGTGAGGGCCTGTACTTATTGAGGTAGACTGAGGTACGAATCTGTGTTTTTATTTCTCAGATGGGTACGGTGTCAAGCGATCAACCCGAGAGGGATGCAAAGCCTGATTGGTCTGGACGAAATTTGATCCGGATGTGGCCCCAGATCATGCGGGTGCTAAGCGGCACCGCTTGCCACTACATCACTTTCACCAGATTGGACCCTTTTTTTGGAAATTGGTTATGGCTAAATGGTGGATATGCCAAGACCTTGTAACCTTTGGGAGAACTGGTTGACGTTCAACTTAAAAGATACAAGTCAGAAAATTCAAAGACCTTCTAACGGTGAGCGAATGAAATCGGAGTTAGTGGTTAAATGGTCGTGGCCTATAGCAGAGTCTTGAACCGTGGAGAGGAATCTTTTACCGTATTCCTCTAATTTCAAGTACGAGTTTGACGTCATGTGGGTGATCCGACAAAGCTCCTGAAGGGTTCTTCCAACCGCAAGCTGGGCTACCATCTGCTACTTCCAAAATTGGAAAATGGCCTCTTTCTGTTCCTTAGCCCACAGTCTTAGCTGAAAGCTCAGCGATATTGCCATAAACGAGTTCCTTAACTTTCAGATTGTCCGACACGGTGCCTTTGACAAAGAAATCACTCTGAACTACTGCACACAAAGCGGTATGGCCAAGAAACACCTGCACTTCCTGCCCAAGTCCGAGACAATTCGTATGGCAGCAAATGAGAAGACGCGAGACGTGACGGTGGATCTTGTCGAAGGGGCTGACTGGCGACCAAATCACGTCTTCTACGTCAATCTGAAGATCCAGGTAAGCGTGCTGGTACAGTTCTCTTGGTTGATTCCGTTTCAACTTCAAAGAATTGTTTACAGGATCAGCCCGATGGCGACAAGACTACGCTTGGCTCGTGTGATGTGGCACGAGTACGATATCCAGATGATACAGCATCATTGATGGGAGGCGCTGCAATGGAATTTGTGAAGGCGAACTATGTCAGTCTTTGAACTCCACATATACAGCTCCAGTGAGCGACAGGCTTTGGGAGCGCGCGGTTGCGGCGCGTTCAAAGACAATTTTTCGTACAAATGAAAGCTCTGTGAAACTTCTTGTCTTCCATACAAATAAGAAATTTCGCAGACGAATAAGCGCCATAAACCACTATTCACAGGAACCGCGCCGCGACCGCGTGATTCCCTACTGTCCCGCCTCCGCCAGCCGACCAAACTGCTCTTTGGAGCTCTCCTACTTGCATCCCGTGATATGACAGAATATTTAGGTAGCCAAAGGAGAACTGTGGCTGGATAAGACTGTTCGTAACGAGGCGTGGCAAGATGCACAGTGGCAACCATGTCGTTATTTATGAAACAGCGGACGTGACTGCACAAGCCGACCACGACTACACACCAGTGAAACACGGAAGGCTTATGTTCAAGGGTCAGGTGAGTTGTTTGAGCGTTATGATCACAAGTTCATTGATTTTGAACTTTATGCGAATTTGTAATAATGGAAGATCGATGCTAACCTAGTTGGTAGGGGCAGAAAAAAATCGTGCTCTATTCGTCTGCGCCTCTAGAACCTTAGCCCTATGGGCCGTAACTAAGTCACCGCCGCGTGAAAATTTTGAAATACAGCGGCATGGAGACGCAGACGAGCATAGCGCCGTGTGGCCCCTTTCAACTACGTTAGCGCCAGAAGATCAATGCGACTGCTAATACTGACCAAAACTCAAACGACACTCTTCAACGAGTGAATCAAATTTCACCCGTCGAAAAGTGTCGTTGGAGTTTGATCGGTTCTTCAACCGATTTTGACCTTGTTATTAGGTACTGTTCTGGTTTTGTGCCTATAAGTTGTTTGAGCAAGGCGGAAATTTCAGGAATATGAGAAGTACATCGACATTGAGATAATCGACGATAAGCACGACGAAAAGGATGAGACATTCACCGTCGAGATCGTATTGGTTGAAGGAGAGGGAGGCGAGTTTCTCTTCAATGTAGTTCTCGTCCTTTTTGCAAAAATCATTCGGAGACACCTTTCACGACTTATATAGATGAATCGGGCCCTTGAGCAGGATAATGCAGTCCACAAAATGTGCCGCCTTGCTGCTCAAAAGTGCTTGACTAGGAAGCCAAGATCTTCCTTATTCCTCGTGCTGGGACAGCTGCAGTCGTCACTCGCAGAGAAGCAATCTTGAGGACTCTGCGTCTTGCTCACAGCCATACTATTCTTCAAGTTCTCTCTCCTATGCGCTCTCAGTCTCTTCCACGTTGCACCGCCCCTGATGGAAAAGAGTATTCCGAATTTCAGCGTTTTTGACGGTTTCTTTTGCTTTCTTCATAGATGGTCTAGACGGCGCGTGTATGCTTGAATTTTTTTGATGGAGTAGCATAATTTTTTTATTGTGGAATGTGCCTTTAAGTAAGCATGGGTTCAAGCCTTTTAGCCTTAATTTTCGCTTACAAACTGAACAACTGTTTGCAGAGGTGGCCATAGGTCGCAATCGTCGTACGGTGGTGACAATCATCTCTGATGACAATGCTCTGATGAATCTGGTGAATGTGCATAAGCTTACAAGCCATTACATGCGAAAACTTTCCAATTACAAATCTTCATGGATGGATCAGGTGAGAAATAAGATTCCTTCTTGGTTTCCATATTTTTTTCAAATATACAAACCATCGGCCTCGTTTTCCTTTTTTATTTCTACCTTTTTTCACCACCATCTCGAATGCAGTGCAGTACATCTT